GCAACTGGCCGGGTATGGATCTAGCCCAATGAGGGTGGGGCCAGCTGGATCTGGGTCTCGTGTGATTTCTAGGCACATGTGGGTGGGTGGGGACTAAACTCTGGGTCCCATGGTGCACCCCAGACACTGACAGGAGGAAGATTTTCATATACATTTTACTAATTTCCTTTCATCTCTGACACTTATAGAGAAAGGACAAATAGCAATATTAAAGGTGCGCCAACCACCCTGGGGCTGGGCCAGGGGACCTCAGGCTGCTCCCCCCACCCCGGGCCGAGGGACCTCAGGCCGCGCTACCCACCCCAGTGACAGGGGATCTGAGGCTGCGTCCCCTGCCCAACGGGGCTTGACGGGAGACCTCAGCCTACGCCCCCCACCTGGCGCTGGGCCAGGGGACCTGAGGCTGCGCCCCTTGCCCAGTGGGGCTTGACTAGGGTGCAACTGGCCGGGTATGGATCTAGCCCAATGAGGGTGGGGCCAGCTGGATCTGGGTCTCGTGTGATTTCTAGGCACATGTGGGTGGGTGGGGACTAAACTCTGGGTCCCATGGTGCACCCCAGACACTGACAGGAGGAAGATTTTCATATACATTTTACTAATTTCCTTTCATCTCTGACACTTATAGAGAAAGGACAAATAGCAATATTAAAATATTTCCTCTAATTAATCCCCTTTTAATGTGCACAAATTTCGTGCACCAGGCCACTAGTTTCTTATACTGTTTGAACTCATAGAAAAGGAGATAAAAACGGGAAATTATTGAAGTCTCCCTGAATTATTTCATTGTCAAATGTGCTAGCCCAGAGTCTGTTTGCCCTGTGTGCTGGCTTATATCCCAGTTGGCTGCTGACTGCCTTTCCTGGACTCCTGTGTCCCCTGATTCCTAGCTGGGTTCAGCCTGTGAGAGACACTGGAGGGAGATTGGGGAAGGGGAGGAAAAGAGAGGTCGCACTATGAAAAGAAGGAATGAGGAGGGCTGGTGGTACAGCAAAGGCAGCCTCTCTTTTATGCATCCAGCTCTCTCCAGACAGCCCCACTACAGTTCCATCTTCTACTGGAACCTGCCCCTGGGCTTCAGTAGCATTTCTTCCCTCCTTTGGACCCACTGTGCTTTCTGCTGTAGCTACTCCCTGGGTTGCCTCACACTACTTATTTGGGTGTCTCAGTTCTTCATGACCTGTGTAACCAACTTATTCCCTGCATTAAATTCCCTTGGCTAGATACACTTAAATTGTTTCTTTTTTCCTATTTAGACTCTGACTGGTGCACATTTTCATTTTCTGTTTGGTATGATTATAAAATAGGCTAAGAGAATGCTGTTGGCATATTATATCCAGATTTCAGAAAGACTTTTGATAGATAATCTTATGTCCTTGTGAACAAAATAGGGGGGATTTAGACTGGACAATAAATTCTTGGATTGCTAACATTTATTAATGTCAAGGCAACTGATGAAAGGGCTCTAGAGGTTTGCCAGAGGCTCTGTCCTTGGCCATGTCCTATTCAACATTATTGCCAAAGTTCTGGACGAAGATACAAAGCAGCTTATATCAAATGTGTCCGTAACACACAGCTGATAGCCAATTTAATTCAAGTTGTAAAAGGATAAACTTTTTAAGGAAAATAGAGTATCTTGCATCTAGGTACAAAAAAATATAAAGAAATAGTATAGGAGAGGCCAAGTTTCCCAGCATATTATGTTGGTAAAGAAATCCAGTATTTGCCGAAACCGGTTTGGCTCAGTGGATAGAGCGTCGGCCTGTGGACTGAAAGGTCCCAGGTTCGATTCCGGCCAAGGGCATGTACCTGGGTTGCGGGCACATCCCCAGTGGGAGATGTGCAGGAGGCAGCTGATCGATGTTTCTCTCTCATCGATGTTTCTGGCTCTCTATCTCTCTCCCTTCCTCTCTGTAAAAAATCAATAAAATATATTTAAAAAAAAAAAAAAGAAATCCAGTATTTTAATTGACCACAAGCCAGAAGTGTGACCTGTGTTTAAAAGAGGGGTTGGGGGAACTTGTCTTTGGGCCCCACTAGAAGATTATTGTCCCTGTCAACTGATAAATAGTTCTATTTCTCTTCAAAAAGCATTACAGGAAGGGTAGAAACTTACTCTAAGAAAGATATTGCTAAATTGAAGCATCAATGTTCCCCAAACCTTGTAAAGCTTTATGTAATTTACAAATTGTATGCGCACACATCTATTCACCTTTGCCTCACAACAGTCAGTGTAGGACGTACTCTTACCCCATTTCTCACCCTTTATTTCCTCATATGGGTTCAAGTCTAAGATACATAGCTCACTGTTTGGCCTTAGGCAAGCAAGGTCTGGTGCTTGGTCAGAAATCCAGCTAATTGCAATAAAGCCCATTCTCACTTCAGGACACCATCCTGCATCTAGCTTCCCTTTGAAAGGTCAGAAGGCTTTTACCTGTGATGAACAGTAAAGGGAACCTGGAACATTATGCTAGAACAACAGACTTGTGGGAAATAAAGTCTGTCTTCCAAGATTTGAAACTCATATGAGAGAAGGAGTGGATTAAATTAAGTGGCTTCAGGGAACAATAAGGCATGAGAGGGTTTTTGCTCGATATTTAAAAAATTTCAAACAGACCATCTCCTGTCGTCATTGCTTTTGTGCAAAATCTGGGTAACTAACTCTAGGAATATAATAGTGAGATGAATTCCTACATTGGGGAGCATGTTAAATTAAATAACTTCTAGAGTGGCACCCAACTCTATCCAATTTGTTTGTTTTGGTTTTTTGGGTTAGTGAGATTTGTGGTTTGTAGTTTTGACTAGGAGTTGTTTTATTTTTATAGTTTCACTTCCAGGAACATAATTGTTTTTCTTATAATTTAGGATTAACATACTCTATTTGTGTGTGTGAGAGAGGGAGGGGCGAGGGCTTTCAAGATCCTGAAACAAGGAAGTAAAGCATGACTAGCGCTCAGTGTCATTAACTTCACAAGGAATACTACATTATTACCCAGAATATGTCCCCAGAGTGAATGTCTGCATTTGTTCAATTTCATCCCTATCAGGGGTGATGAGGAGAATCATTTTGAAATATATTGAAGCAGAGAATAGTGTTTGCAAAGTATTATTAGGTTTGATAGGATGAACTTGTGCAAATGCAAACTGTTGGCATATCACTGTAAAAACCTATATGCTGAAAGGTCCCTGAGATGACTTATTAGAGGCCATCAGCGTGAAAGTAATTGAAAAAACATAAAATTTACCTTGAGGATGCCTTTCTAATCTTTTTTCAAGAAGTAGTACAGTCTTTCTCCCCACACTGGGATAGTTATATTCTTGAAGATCTAGGATAATTGAGGAAGGAAAATAAAAATTATTTCAAAATTTATGCAGAAAAAAACAAACAAAAAAATAGCAAAGCTCTCATGGGAGTAAAACATGCAGGGAAGATTAAATGTATTCAGAATTCACTTAAGATAACATTTTGCTTTGACCTTATTTCTGGTTAGTTTAATAAAGGGTAGTTCTTAGTCTTCATAACTACTTGCTGAGGTCTAAAAGTTAACTGACTTGATTTCCTGAAAAAGCTTCATTGTAAACCCATGATAGTTCAGATCTTCCCTGTGAATGATCCAGGGCTGAGTACTCTTGTCATGTTCATTTTTTTAAAAAACTTGCACTGTCTGCCCCAACCTCCACCCCTTCTCCAATTTCTCCCCAGACTTATTAATCATAACATAATTCTCATGGAAGAATTTGAAGGACATTGAAAGTAGTAAGGGGAAAAAAAATGAAGTTAAAGAGCATCTGATATTTAATTCAGAGTAGTATCCATTTAAAAATTTGAATTTGAAAAATGAACTTTATAGATGTTAACATTCTCTGACAACTTGCCATTTAATAAAATGGTGATATTTCTTTTAAAATGGATCAGTGTCCTACTCATAGGCTTAATTTGGGGCCTCAACAAGCCACAATATTCTTTTTCCTTTATGTTACTAATGCAAAGTAGATAAAAAGAGTAATGTTCAATAATTCCTGTGTTGCCCTTGATCTAATCAGCATGGTTTTTCCTTTAATGTTACATATGTAAAATTTTGGGAGTTTAAAAACTTAACCAAATTGCTGCCAAATTTCTTGGCATTCCAAATTTTTCAGATTTTAGGAAAATGGTGATATAGTGTATGTATTTTACATTATTCAGTTAATTCCCCCAGTGCATATTCAAATGCATGAAGATTCTGATACCAAAAGCATATGAAGAATAGTCACGTTAAGTGAAATAAATTAAGATGTTAAGCAGTTTTACATTAGTTCTGGTCAGAATTTGCAGCCAAGTAAATTTGGATGAGATCAAGTTTGCCACCAAATAAGTTTAAAAAACAAAACAAAAAACCACCATCACTTAGTTTTCAGGGCTTTGGTAATCTTCAAGTTATCAGCATTATCTTATTTTTAATTGCAAATGGATAAGTAGAAATTGTCGCTATTTTTCTCATTTCCCCAACAAAGAAGAAAAGGCAAAAGTTTGGGGATTTGTTAAGTGTTGCCATAAGTACAATTCTTATTATCATCTCCGTTAGACCTCACAGAATCCTCTGAAACAAACTATTTTTATTTTGCAAAGGCAACAGAGGAGTAAGGAGTGAAATGACTCATTCCAGCTACAAAGTTAGCAAGTAGCAAAACTAAGACTCAAACTCAGGTCTTCCAACTCTGGATCCCATTCTCCTTCTACCAAATCTTGTTTTCTTAAGAAAAGCTTCCAGGAAGCTGGAAAATGAGAATTCAGGTATATGCTTATCTAGAGTTTAATGAATGCATCACAATGCCTAAAATATTTTATTATTTTGAATCATTTAAGTTAGTTTGGCAGAAATAGACTGATTATTGTCAAATTTGAAGTTTGTTTTGAGTATTTTTTAAAGGGGACAATAATTTAAAAGTTCAAGCTAATTTCAAGTATGGAATAATAAGGATTTTTTGTGCCTTGTTCTCCCAATTTTGTTTTAACTGTTCAGATGTGCCTGGCATCAGAGGGGGTGAAAATAGAAGAATCCAAGCTAATAAAAACAAAAGAATCAGATGGCGGAAGAATTAAAGAATTGGAGACAGGGAAGGAAGAAAGAGAGATAAAAATGGAGAAAACAGATGAAGCCAGATTACAGAAGGAAGCAGAATTTGAAAAATCTTTTAAGGAAAATGTAAAAGATTCTAAGGAATTAAGAAATTTTGAGGAGCTGCAAATGGATGATATAATGGCTATAAAAATGGAAGATCCCAAAGAAATTAAAAAGGAAGAATTAGACAAAGATCAAAAGTATAGTCATTTCTCTGATTTTTCTTACTCTGCCAGTAGCAAGATAATAATAAGTGATGTTCCCAGTAGAAAGGATCATATGTGCCATCCTCATGGGATTATGATCATTGAGGATCCCTCAGCATTAAACAAGCCAGAGAAGCTAAAAAAGAAAAAGAAGAAAAGCAAAATGGATCGACACGGAAATGATAAATCCACACCCAAGAAGACTTGCAAAAAGAGGCAGTCCTCAGAGTCTGACATCGAGAGTGTCATATACACCATTGAAGCTGTCGCAAAGGGAGACTGGGGCATTGAGAAACTTGGAGAAACCCCTCGCAAGAAGGCACGTACATCCTCAAGTGGCAAGGGAAACATTTTGGATGCCAAGCCACCAAAGAAAAAAGTGAAATCAAGAGAGAAGAAAATGTCAAAGGAGAAATCCTCAGACATCACCAAAGAGTCAAGACCTCCAGATTTCATAAGTATTTCTGCCAGCAAGAACATTTCTGGTGAGGTGCCAGAGGGTATAAAAGCAGAACCATTGACCCCCACAGAGGATGTGTTACCACCCAGCTTATCAGGACAGGCCAAGCCTGAGGATAGTGAGTGTCACAGAAAAATAGAGACTTGTGGCTCCCGGAAATCCGAGAGGTCTTGCAAAGGTGCTCTTTATAAAACCCTGGTGTCTGAGGGCATGCTCACCTCTCTGAGAGCTAATGTTGACAGAGGTAAGTGACTTCTACAAATCTGAAAAGATTATGAAAGCCTAGCAGAATTTCTTCTTTAGACCTATTGAAAAGAACCACCAGAAAGAACAATATGGTATCAAAATGATATTTTACATTTGTACAGTTCTTAATGGTTTATAGATGGCATACATTTGTCATTTTACATGTTTCCTAGCCCATTGAGAAGAGTGTCTTCAGAATATAAGTGTTTAAAGTAATTCAACCCTTCCTTTCTTTTTTACTGGAATAGGCTCAGTGTTTGGTTTGAAGGATCAGTATTGCATGTCAGGAGCTCTTAGTCTGTTTTCTAACACTGATAGAAAGAATTTCCTGAGTCAAGCGATAGTTTGGCAGAATCTTGACCTGAAGGATCCAGGAGCAAATGACTTAACTAGTCCTCTCCATTAGTTAAAACTATAATTGAAGTGAAGGTTCTTTAAAACATAACAGCATCCAGAAGCCAGTTAATGTATCTACCTTTATTCCATAGTGTTTCATATAAATTCATCTGTTTTAAAATATGGTGTCTGGCTAGGGGATTACCTTTGGCCAAGCTAGATTTCAACTAGAAATGTGTGAATATGAGGTCTAGCAAGCCCTGAATGAAGATCCATGGGAGTACATAGTTCTCCAGGGATGCCATTCCAATAAATCTTGGTGAATGAGAACTAGTAGTGCCCACCAGCAAAGGACTCCCATACTCTCAGGTGATTCTCTAATGGAAAAGTTAGCAGTCGGTGTTCTGCTCTGGAGTCACACAATAGCTGTTGAGTTATGACAAGAAAACTTACCTCAGAGGTTGTAAGTCACTCTTGTGTATGTTCTTTTGTTGAGGGTAGTCCATCATGAATCACTTTGAGTCTCTGAATATTTACTAATACCATCAGGCCCATGATACCAGAGGTCAAGAGGTCACTTTTGAATCAATTAAGTTGATTTCCCTCCCATCCCAATATACCGAGCACATCCTTTCTCTTGAATTTCGTTAGGGAAACGAAGCTCAGGAAAAGGAAACTCCTCCGATCATGAAGGGTGTTGGAATGAAGAAAGCTGGACCTTTAGCCCAAGTGGGACCAGTGGGAGCAAGAAGTTCAAGAAGACAAAGCCGAAGGAAGACTCTCTCCTTGGGTGAGTGTCTGTGAGCATAGTCTGCTACACTACACAGCCCCAAGTGTGGTAGGATTTTCAAGGCAAGCATAAATCTCTGACTGCTTATTCTCAGAGTATTCATTCAGCGCTTAGTAAACACACAAGGGAAACGGATCATGTGTATCCCCTGATTCCTGCTGTTAACACGGTTGTGACAGTGTCATTCACATTTAAAGTCTCAGACATAGGCCTGAGTTTGAATTGGGGTCCACCATGTATTAGTAGTGTGACATTGTAAGTCCATTAATATCACCAGGACACATTTTCCCATCTGAGGTTTACAGTGGATAGTATATAAGTATGTCTACATTTTACATACTGTATGTGCTTTACTTAGTATTTCTAGGCATGTCCATATGTTTGTAAAACTAAAAATGACAGCTGAAAATATAAGGTAAATAAAATTAAGTTTCTACTTCTAATCTTATTTTGTTGAAACCATATTTCTACTGCTGTAAATAAAAATAATAGATTGAATATTCTCTCTGGTACAGAGAATATTCAGTAATTAATTATATATTGAAGTGCTGTGTCAAGCAATAGCATACATCAAGATAAAATGATTAAGAATTATTTCATCTTTATGTTATACCAAAGACTCTAATACCAATCTTAATATAAAGCATTTTGCAAGTTAAGTTATGGTATCCAATACTTTATATTGGCGAGGAAAGCATCTGAATATTCAGTTGTACTGTTTTGCAAAAGCCTTTGAGATTTCTCTTAGTCCAATTTGAAAAGAATACACTGAGCAGAAATAAATACATTTTTATATTTTCCATATTTGTTCATAAATGTGTTTAAAGGTATGCAAATTTTATGCATTGGGAATATTGAATTTGGTTTATTCATAAATATTTGCATTTCTGTTTGTGGAACAACATATTTTTTCCTTGGATGTTACAGTGCTTCAAAGCCTGGTTAATTCTAAGGCTCTAGGTCATCACAAAGAGTGAGAGTGGAAATTATTTCTCATGACGATGATTCCTTAAGATTATTTATATTGACACAATAGATGTATAATTTTATATATTTCCTTTCTAATATTTTTTAAAGTCCAGAATAGTTCAAATTAGTTTTGCTTACATTATGCTTCAACAATGACATGAAATCTTCGTGTTTGTCATTGTCAAATAATATTTTTCAAATGAAGTATTTCCTAAAGTGACACTGAGCATCAGGGCCAGTGCTTTGTAACTCCTGGAATTACCAGTGCTCTGTGTGTCTACTCAGCAAGAGAGGGGCGCTCTCATTGCAAACAGTGAAGTCCTAGGGGACACAGTAGGCTTGCAGGTTCCCCAGCGGAAGGTTCTCTGATGCTTCCGTTAGGTACTGCTGAGGCTCTGAGAGAGATGTTCTCGCCAGTCCTCTTTGAGGAATAAGAAAAGTGCAACAATCTTTTGAAAATCTATCCCTACGAAGAGATTGCTGTGTGGGTTGGTTTTTTTGTTTTGTTTGTTTAAGTCATTTCTAAGGAAGCCACATATAGATTACTGGGAGTATGGTTTTCTACAGGCTTAAATCAACGGTAAACTTCTGATCTTTCCTCCTGTTTCTCTTCTTTAAATAATGGCCTGTCAGAATCAGACTATCTGGGTTTCCCTTGTTAAGAACACACCAACACAGTGCATGAGCAGTGAGAAATGCCACTTCCTGTCAGTCTTATCTGAGATTTCTAAATGAGCATTTTAAACCTTTTTATCTCAGAGAATGTGCTACCTGCTTAGTTAACTGTAGCCAAGAAAAATTCACTCAGTATTGGCAGTTCTAATTTTATAGACTTATCCAAGAAAAACAGAGGTGATTATTCTAGTTGAAAAAAGAAAAAAGAGTCCCAAGAGACCTTAGGGATTATATCTCACGTTTCATATTTTTGTCTTGCTTATTCAGAGTATCTGAAAAATTCACATCTTACAGATAGCTTTCGGATACATCTAATTAGTAACCAGATAGTATCTGATTTTCCATTAGAATAAACATTTTTTTTAACTGAGCATGAAAAGATGATTTTAGTAAGAGAGAAACGTCACCCCCACCCACCACCCTTTGCAGCTTTGATTAGAACTTGGTAGTGCCTTTTTCTGTTGTCAGTTCTGATAGTTATCTGACTGTCTTATCTCTGCTCCCCAGTTCTTGTACATTCCTCCAAAGCTGAGAACAGTTTTAGGTGGACACGGCTCACGTACATCTCATAGGTAGTAGCCTTCTGGTAAGTTGGCTACTCCAAGCTGCTCTCTCCCGAGGACGCCTTCCACTTCCCATCCACCGAGCACAGAGATTCTCCTGCAGCTTCTCCTGTCTGTTTGGGCTGCATCTTAGTTAATAATTCTCACTGTCAGTGAAAGACAGCAGCCAGGCTAGGACCCAGCAGGCATGCTGCCATTGCTGGGGTCGGGAGGCCTTGCAGACAGTCAGAAGCAGCCCAAGGATTTCCCAACTTGGCTGGTGGCCTTTCTGCAGTCATCACGGTGTTAGAGCGGTGCTGCCTTTCCGCCAGTGTGTTCATTGAAAACTGGCTTCGCTTTTCTCACTGCATGTGTTATCCTCATGCCGGTCAACTCTCCAGAATAATTTCCTAATGTTCAAATTATGTGCTTGTGTTTTCTTTGTGTGTATATGGTTTAAAGTACTTGTCAGTAAATATCCTATATAATAAGAGAGGAATATGCTAATTAGTCATTACACCCTGAGACTTAACGACCAAGCATGTCACGACCAGATCACAGATCAGCAGGAGGGTGGGCCAGCGAGGTACGAGTGGGCTGCGGAGAGCTATAGGAGGGGTCAGGGCAGCAAGCTATGAGGGGGGGAGGGGAGAGGGGGGAGATACAGGAGGACGGCATCGACCTACTGGCTACAAGCAGGTGGCAGAGAGCTACAGGATGGGGCAGGGCAGCAAGCAAGTGAGAGGTGGAGAGCTACAGGAGAGGGCAAGGCAACAAGCTATGGAAGGGGGTTGGGGGGAGCTACAGGAGGGCAGCAGGCGGAGAGCTACAGGAGGGTGGCGCATAGATTCATGCACAGGGCTACTAGTTTTAAATAAAAGTCTTACAAAATTAACCAATATACCATATTACCAAAAAGCTTCCTAATATAGGTATATATATATGAATCTTTAGAATGAGATGCTTGTCTGGATGGAATATGCTTTGTATTGAACTTAATGAAAACTCCCCATGCCAATGGAGAGAATGGCAAATTCTCCACTTCAAAAATATTCGATATTTTAAATAATGTTTCAGCTTTTCCAAGATAATATGATAACCTGTCCTGTGAGTTTACCAAGAAAACTGTGTTGCTAAATCTTTTCAAGCTTTTCTGAAAACGTGGTTTTTTTTCCTTGCATAGAATTTATTACCAATTCTCAGGCACCCTGTTTACAAAAGAAATACCTTAAAATACATATTGTACTGTTTTCTGTTTAAATATTGATATCATGTGCCAAGTCATTATATCCCTTCTCTTTTATTAGCTCAGCAAAGCTGGATGAAGAATTTGAAAAAAAATTCAACAGCCTCCCTCAATATAGTCCTGTTACATTTGACCGGAAATGTGTACCTATCCCAAGAAAAAAGAAGAAGACTGGAAGCATGTCCTCAGAACCGACTAAAACCAGCAAAGGTTAGATGTGTGCTCTGCCTTCCTGCATTGTAGTCAGAATCTCCCTGAACCCTCTTCTGAGCTGCTGCAGGTCCCCTTAGATGTAACTGCACCTTGGTTGAGGCGGTAGCGATTATCTTGGTTCCTACCTCCCTTCTTCCCTTCCTACTTCTCCTCAGCCTCTGTTCTTTGGCCTCTCTGCCTATACATTGGCCCTTACAGGTGTGTAGGTTTTTGAAAGTGTTCCTTGTGGTCTTTGACTTTCTGCTCTCCAGCATTCTAATTTGGAAAGGCAGAACTTTTCTTGAGCAAAAAGCTGCTGAGTCTAAGTCTTCTGTTCCCTGTGTTTGCAACAAGTTGGACTGTGAGACTATGAAATCATTCCATTTGCTTAATAAGCAGACTTCATTCTTTACTGGCAGTATGAACCAATGAAAATAAAATTCCCTGTAATACTCTGGTGATATTTTTTATTTGTTTTGTTAAATTTAGAAAAATGCTTTGTTCAGCATGTTTTCAAGACCATCAGATTCTCCCCTATGTATATCAGGGAAGCTTTAAAAATTATCACAACGCGGGTGGATGTCAGCATTCATCAAAGGCAACATTGTAGTTCAAAAGGGGCCTTTGAAGAATGTGGGCGTTCTCAGTGGTCTCAACACCTAGGCCCACTGTTATATTTGGGCAGGGGCTCAGGTTCTGAACATCCTAACCTGCCAGGGATATTCACGCACAAAGGATTGTCGTCCTACCCAAAATGACAGTGTTGCTCAGCTTGAGAAACATGTCTTCTAACATTTTAGAGCTAAAGATTGGTGGGGATCTGAACATCCTAACCTGCTGCCAGGGATATTCACGCACAAAGGATTGTCCTACCCAAAATGACAGTGTTGCTCAGCTTGAGAAACATGTCTTCTAACATTACTTTAGAGCTAAAGATTGGTGGGGAAACGTACCTCTGTTTTTCCACATGGATGTGAGACTTCATTCAGTTAGCTCTCCTGTAAGACCGTGAATGGAGGGATGAAGACCTGGCCTGGCTGGGCCGTGTTGCTTTCAGGATCAGATTCCAAGCAGGGTTTGATGGAAGAGTTCCTGTAATCACCCTGCAGAAGTGGCTGCCTATTGGCTGCTTTTTTCAAATTCAGTTAATTTCCTTCTTTTGTGGATTTCAGATGGATAGATGGTTATGATACGATATATATCTTTATGTAAATCTTACTAAATTTTTGCAATCGTGATAATGATCAAAGATAAATTAAGGAGGCAATACAATTTCATGGTTTTTGAAAGAATTTATAAGGTGTATGTCTAGAGAAGATTATGGTTTCTTCTCTGAAGAAATCTGAACCTCTATCCCTTGGTACCTAAAACCCCTTTGTGTACTGGTATTTATATAACTGAGGAGGATCTCTTTGAGATCTGTATCTTAAAATGGCTCTGAAAGGCTGAAGAAAATTCTCCCTTCATGATTAAAGGCACAGAGGAACATAAAAGAGAGTTTAGCTTAGTTTTCCTCTGTGGTTTATAAAAACAAAGTCTTGTGGATAAAGAACTCAAAAAGAAATGTTGCATCACCAAGTTTGCTCTTCTGGGAAAATAAAATAGGGATGTATCACGATATTCCAAGATAGGTAGGAAAGAAATCAAGTAGCCTTGTTGACAGGTAAGCAACTGAGCACTGTAATGATAGATTGTCAATGCAACGACAGTCTTTGTGCTCTAGAGATTTAGGAATAGGCACAGTAGTCCATGAGTCCAAAGATGCCAGGTATCTTGAGCTCCCATAATTCTTGGATCTAAAGTCGCTGATAAATAAATATCTTACAAGCGGATAAAGTGGAACTTAATTGATTGATGTGCAGGATGAACTCTCTTCCTCTGCTTGTTGTGGTTTGAGACATTAATTTTAGAACTCTGAAGATGGCCGATTACCTATCAGGAAATGTAACAATAGATTTATTTTTCCCTGAAGTTAAGATCTGTTTTCTTGCAACCTTCTCTTTCTTGTCTGTTGTGTGTTTTTTCTCTCCCAACTAAGATTAACAGTATTTCTTTTTATGTGAAATAGCTTTTTAGAGGTTTGGATTATACTTCATACAACATCATTTTTTAACTCTTCTATTAAACCACAAAGTCACTGGTCTTACACAGAATATTAGTAATTATGTAGCTGGGAAGTCTTTTAAGATTTTGCTCTGCATAACAACTCATGGAGAAAAAATGCAATTATAATAAAGCAGAAATTAAATAATTGATTCTCTGTTTTATTATGGTATTTGTGACTGATTAAAATTTGGCATTAGCAGCACCAATGTACTATCTACAACTTATTAATGAAATTATCATACCAGCTGTGCTGTAATTGCCTGATCTTTAGAGGAGAGAAGAGATTGTTTTCTTAAACTCTAGATCCTTTGCACCTTTTCTTAATGAATCCTCAAAGCAGAAACTTGGGTATGAGGTCATTAGTGCATGAGTAAGAGCATGTCTTCATAGGAAACCTCATTCTTCCAACAATTCACCATTTGTCTATATTTTATTTTCCCTACATTTGTTATCACTTAACATTCATTATATTTTTCTTTCTGCCTCATAGTAGGTACTTATTTAGCTACTCCAGGTTATAGGAATTGTGTAGAATTTTTCTGAAACGTAATTTCTAGAGGAAATGATTGTGGGTACATTTATACAGTTATACAACTCAGAATCATAGTACCTGCTTGGGTCTGCACTTCTGTTTTCCCAGTGTCTCCTTGTTTATATCTGTATATCCAAGTAGTCTCTTCCCTTTTCTCACTGTCCCCTCCACTCTCTCTGCGCTGTCACTTATGTCTGTATAATAGGTCTTATCAGAAACTCTAAAACAAAAAAAGAATGAAAATAGCGAAATGTCACCTTCTCCAGCAGGGCTCAGGGTATGTTATACTAGGCAGAGCACAGTGACTTAGGAATAGAATTTCCTTTTGCTTCTAAGAGCAAATTATAATCTGCCTGGCTTGGTGCGGTTCAGCTGAAGCAGCCCATTCCTGCATGTTTTCTGGTTTCTGTCTCATAGTCACGTGTATATATACTAATGAAAGCTTTAAATTATAAGTCTAAATTTAATTGTAACCTCTCAAAGGATTTCTTTTGACACATTATTTTAAGTATACTGTTAATGTATGAAGCACTTTTTACAGAAGTGTCAGAAGTCAAGAGTGCTCTGCAAAATAAGTAATTTTCAAATGACATAGGGTCATGGAGAAAAAGTTAATTGAGTTCAATTTAGAGTGTTTAAATCATGGCCCAGTGTGACCCTTGACTTCACTTTCCTTCTTTTATCTCTTCTGTCTTCTCACATACTGTTTCTTAGCTCATCAGACATACTGTTGGTCTTTCTCATGTTTTTCCAATTCACACTTGTGGATTGGAATTTCAAGTGGTTAAGCATTTGAGATTTTAATATAAGGAGCAGATTTATAAAAATTAAAGGTTGAGGATAGAATCCCCTGTTTGGAAAGGAGCCACCCTGAGGATACTGTCAGGGTTAAAGAACTCAGACCTGTTTTAGCCAGGCCAGCCTTTCCTACCAGCAAGTTACAGCTTCCAGGTTGGGCAGAACTCTGTATTTTGTCCTATAACTGTTTCAGAGTCTTCATTGCCACCAAATATTTTCAGGAACATGGTGACAGCACATTTGCAGGTATCGACGATATACCTAATATAATCCTGAGTTTCTTAACAGGGCAGGGGTAGTCTAGCCCAATGAGGTGGTTCAGTTCCACTCGATGAATTCTAACTCGATTATGGCTGCTTTACTCAAACTTATTCAAGTCTACAGATCCATGTGACCAATAGCTGGGGGCACTTTGCTATAAATTATCACAAATTATTGTTTCATAGGTTATTCATTGCTTAAGTGTTCATTACAAAAACGACAACCTAGTTTTAGAATTAAAAATCTGCTCTTTTTATAGCTTGAAAACATGAAACTAGAACCTGGGCAGAAGTCACCACCCTTTGAGTTTGGCCTAAAATTTGTTTCCTGTGACAGAGAGTAAGGTTCACTTAATTCACCTCACCTGCTGACCTTGAAGAAGGATCACACCAGGCTAGTTCTGAGCTGGCTCTTGTGTCACTACAGTGTCTCACCCCCAAAATGTCTCTTTTTCAGCAAACCATGAACAACATTAATGTCTGGGAAGGTTATTATTGTCAGTGTCTCTATGGCACCCTCTTATCCTCTCAGATTCTTTGTGTCTGCTATTTTCTACCCAGCTGTGAAGTTGGCATGCAAAGGAGAGATTGATACCTTCAAATACAGGCCATCCCGCCCAAAAGTTTGAATAGAGTCCTAAGCTAGTTTACATGCCAGCAAAAAGTGACTTTGTCATCAGGATGTGAAGGCTGATGCAAAAACTCTCTTAAGAAATGTGGTAGGCAGATGCAAGAAAAAAGGGTCCTCGTGCTTTCTGTCTGTCTGATTGTGGCAGCCAAGATTGAATGGGGGAATACAGTGAAAAAAAAAAAAAAGAAATGTGGTAGGAAGAGGAGGGACAGAGATGGGAGGGAAACTTGAGGGGGTGATTTAGTGAATGACAGTTGCTGATTCTTTGTTTTCTGAATAATTCCTTCAAAAGTCTTTTCTCCGCTTTTCATTTCCTACCCTCATTTTCCTGCATGGAGTCTCAACGTTAATAATTAAAGGGAGAAATAGTGGTAAATTTCTGTGTATTTGCTGTTTGTTACAAAGTTTGACTTTATCTTCTTGAGGCAAAATATCAAACATATGTACCATACTGGTGGGCAGAAATCAAGTTGTTCATTTCTTGACTCTAACATTGCTGCTTTCTAATTACTTATTCAAGTTTGTGACTTTCTTTTTTTAACTGAAGTTGTCCTTTACTTAGATTTGTTTTATAGCTATGGTCTGGGATGGCTAAGAGCAAGGAAGTTTAAAAATAAAAGTTTACAGTGGCTCATCTGTGTGCCGCACCACTCCGGTTGTAGTTTTTCCATGTTAAAATTGACAAGCTCCA